CGTTTACTTGTTGCCCAACGAAGGTTGACGGAAGCTCGGTGGTGGCTCGTGTGCTCCTCCGCCAACTCTACTGTCGAACCCCCAGCTTCCATCTCGTCGCGCCGCCTCGTCTGCCCGCCGGGCTCAACTCACAGACGGTTGCACAGGACGAGGCGTGCGCTGGGCTCCAGCTCTAAGAGCCCCTAAGGCGGGTTGTCGGTGACACTGACAATCGGTTTGGCACCAGCCAAGTACCGGCCGTCCCGCCGTCAGTTTGTAGGGTTGGGATCGACTGGGGGAGAGTCGAGGAGCCCAGGCAGATGGCAGAGCTAGCGCTCGCTGTCGCTGTCTGTCCTTCCAGTCGATAGACCCAGATGGGAGAAGTACTCAAGCTTATCCCCTCACGGCCCCATTCCTCCAGCATCTAGGCACTGACGCCAGCCAACTGACAAAGCATACAAAGACGACGGCTCTTGACCGAAACTGCTTAGCTGTTGAGGGGGCACACCATCTGACCTCTCTAGCCTCAAGAATGGCGTCCCTCAATTGCCTCCGCCTGCCGCGTTGCCAGAGATCCCGCTGCTTCGTTGTTCCTGTTGGCCACACACGGTTTCTATTCCGGGCCATTGCCATCCATCCTTATCGCTCACCATGCGCCGCCGTACTGTGCTGCTCCAGTGCTCAAGACAGGGGCGAAGAAACAGCTCAGCGACCCGGCTGCATGCGCAACGAGGTCAAGTCTGTCTGTCCAGCAGGGAACGCCTGTGGCACCAGTGTGCGTGGCCTGAAGGGATTGTACTTGTAAAAATCCTGAAGCGTCCAACGTGCTGTTTGCCAGGCACAGGGTCAAGCGCCGTTGGGTGGCAGGGATCATCGTCTTCTTCCACAAGTACCGTTACCTCAACAGCCGGACACGAGTACCTAGATGTCCTCGTGGCCATTAGCTTCCGGGGCCGTATCGGGCACAACTCAAAAATGGTCAGGCAACGAACCTCTACAACCACTGGCCAGTCTTTGTACGATCTTGGCCAGCCTAGGTGGGAACCTGCAGGTCGCTTTGGTGGAATACCCTCAATTTTCCTTCGTATTCGTCCGCGAAGACCTGAACAGGCGGTTCAGAGCATGCTGGAACCCGTATTGCTGCAAGCCGCCCACGGCCTCGGGGCCCGGTACTCGCCGGCATCGAACAAGACAAGGGCGTCCAAGGCCTGGATTCATTGCCCCATCACGCAAATTTTCTGACTTCTCACTTCTCCCCGCCCTGCTGCGATGAGATCGGAGTTTTCTTGTGGACGGATAGCCGTACCGTCGCCCCATTGCTGTGTATGGTATGTGGTCATAGCATGGCGAACTGCGACGCTGAGACTTCGTCTCCGTCCTGCTGCATCGCATTTCCTTGCTGTTTGCTATCCTCTTATCAAGTCCGGCCCACGAGCCTCCTCCCTCTTCTCTCTCGCTCTCACTGCGCCTGAGACGTCCCTCACGTATCCGAAGGCTCCTGCTTCGCGGCGATGCGACAGAAGGTTTCGACCATTATGTCATGGCTCCCGTGGCTGGCAGGGCAGGATAACATTCCATCACAAGGATGCGCGTCAACCTTGCCAGCCCAGAGTCAGGACGTTGCAATGGACCTCCTGCAGCTGATGCGCCGTGGCTGCTGCGAGTGAAGGGGCCTTCATCACTGTCCGTGGCTTCACCCTGCCGCCCTGCTTGGCTTGCTAACCAAACCGCGCCAGACCAGCCTGTTCGCCCGGCGGCGGCTGACCGGGGTTCTAATTCCTTAGTCCTCCTGGAGGCGATCACTTAAGATTGGCGTCCTATCACAACGTCATGGCGGCGGGGGCCGTTTCTCTCGCAGACTTCCCAGCTTACACGGCGTAATTTCGTCATCCCTCAACCGCGGCCTCAATCTGCTTCCCTTTTTGCGGGCGGGAAATCACTCCGTGGCTTTTGGCTGCGTGCTGTGCTGTGGTGATACTCCCAACCGGCGATTGAGCAACCTTCCAACGGTTGCATGCGAGATATGGTCAAACGTGTCGTGCTCCGCCGTCATTTCTCCTGAGTGGACCGATGCACACTGCAGGTGTCGGCGGCATCGTGCCTGTCAGACTCGACACGTAGTGCAAACTCCCCCGGATATTGTTGCTGGTGCTGCGTTGTGCTGCAGAGAGCGATACGGGGAGGGGAGGCAAAGGATGTTTGTGGACAATTGTCGCTCTGTCGCTCCGTTACATCGGATTAAACACAGACCACTGTTCATATCGGCGGCGTCTGTATCGTCTTGTCCGATTCAATGCGGCCTCATTCCGGGCTGCTGTACGTGCTGTTCATTTCATTCATGTGGTGGCGCCCAGCATACGACATGTCCGTGTCAAAGCAGACGGACATGCAATGGAGTGTGCACCTGTGTTGTGAGCCATCAGGAGCACTTGCTCCCACCATATTGGCACAGCGCTAGGAATAAGCATGCTGGATGATGATGACCGCAGGAGCAACAGTTGATGATTCGATGGTGAACCATTTCTCCCTCGTCAGCTTGACATATGGATCGTCGCAAGTGAGCGGCGATGCCGTTCATGCCTCCCGTGCCCCGTCAAGAAGAACCACGGTTCAGGCGCGAGGTCTGCACGTCACCCGTGGAGGCCCATCGGACGATTTGCTCTTCTTGGTTTGTTGAATCGGATTAGGGGTCCTTCGCGAGGGGCCGATAGTGAACAAGCGAAGGAAGTGATGATCGATTCTGGCAGGTCTGTTCTGTGGCTACGGCCTAGACCATCATGCGTCGAGGTCAGAGCAGATTTGCGGATTTGAATCCATAGCCAATAGCGGTTGTGCAAGCCCCCTTTCATCTGATGAAAAAGCTCCCTGGCGGCGACGCTAGACCGGGACATGGTGAAAAGCAATTCCAGTGTTTCACGCTCGGAGCTTCTGTCATAAGTAGTCTGTTTCTTTTTGGCCAATGAATTCGCACAATGTCAGATGTTTCAGAGACGAAGCCGTAAAAGGGCAGCCAGTAGCAGGGTGTCGACGATATGAGATGACTCTGGCGTGTCTGGGTCCAGAGAGGCGGGTTCGACGAGGGCGGGAGATGAAAGTCAAAGACTGCAGTCAGTCCAGACATGGCAGGCACGCAGGACAGGGCAGTCGGAAATGCCTGGGAGCCATGTGGGCAGAGTGCGGGAACGGGCTGGGGTTCAGTGCAGATCGCAGCTGTCGTGAGGGTGTGTTCATCTGCTCATCTCTGTCCCGTTCGGCTCGACGTGAGGAGGTTGCTGGCGTTCAATTGGTCTTGAGGGAAGCGAAGTTGAAGCTGTGGCGATGGGACAAGGTCATCTGCCGTCGTGAGCAAGGGCGTATATTGCTAGAGGGTGTTCTGGACTGGACCATAAGGTCCGCTTCTTTGTAATAGTCCTCTCCTCGTTCCTGTGCAGCAGCAGCTCTTTCGATATCCTGGCGACGCCGGTACTTGATTGTGCGGGAAGTGATATGCAATGTTTGGCCGAAACTTGAGCAATGCTCCAGCAGCGGACTGCGGTTCGGCGTTATCATGCCTGAATGGGAGGAAATCCGCCTCTGGGTATCCGTAGTCTGGCATGCGGTTGTCTCTCTGTTGCTCTCCCACGTTCCGAGTTGATGGAAAGCTTCACAGGCGCAGCTGAGGGTGGTAGTCTCGAGTCATTGCTGGAGAATCATGCATGTTATGCTTTGCAACAAGGTTTCCTGGTGTTCCGAGCAGCATCTCAACTTGAGACTGTCTCTGCGGGAATGGGCGAATCGGCAATGCGGCGTCGTCAATTCGAACGTTGCGCTGGGCTTCTGGATGCTTGCTAAATTGGAATGTCACTCTTTCCATTCTCACGACGGGGAGCACTGCCGCAGCAGGGGGGACAGAGTAATATAGTTTTATCGAGTTTATTACCTATCTATATAAGGATCTATTCTAACTATACTTATTTAATCTCTATAAATAACTAGTACTATTAAATTTCGCTTAATAACGATTACTTCTATTACTATAATTCTAAAATATTAAATTAATAAAAAAAACTAAATATTATATTCTATATTTACTTTAATTTAGTTAATTATATTAAGAGTATTAAGTTTAATATTTATTATAATATCCTCTAATAAATTAATTATAAAAAGAGTATTAAAATTAAAAATAAAGATCTATACTTATTCTTTATATAAGAGTTTTATTATTATTATTAGTATACTTATAAATTAGTTAAGATATTAATTATTTTATAGGTATAAAGTTTACTACTTTAGCTAGGTTTATATAATTATTTTTAAATTAAAAGAGAAAACTTATATTATATTAATAATATTTATAATATTTTATTCTAATATATTTATTTTAATAAATAATAGTTTTATAATAATAACTATTAAGTTTAAGAATAATAGATTTAAACTAAGTTATAAATATTTCTTTTTAACTTATATTTTTAAGTAGTTTTTAAAGTTACTAAATATAAAAAAAGAAAGTTTAACTTTATAGTATTAAAGCTATTATTTTTAAAGTATTTATAGATAAACTTTATATTTCTCTAGAGCTTATTCTAATATAGAGGTGTATGTATATACTATATACGAATAGAATATTGATATAGAGTAGTTAGGAAGGAATTGGAAACCACAAAAGACGGGGAGCACTGGACCACTGGACTTTTCCACCGGTTGGCGCCGGGCGAAAAACGTGCACGGAGCACCGGGAATAAGTCGGTTGTGTTGTGACTTATCACTGACGCTGTATTACATAAGACGTCACATGACCCTTCCGTCTACCTATCGATAAGGTGTGGGGGCGTTGGCGGAGCAACACGGCGCCCAAAGGACCGTTTCTGTTTACGGTTGCCAATCTAGAATCTTTTGGTACCGCACCGCAGCCCAAGAGCCAGTCGCGACAGCCCGATCAACATCAAACTACTTTACTCAAGCAGCGATTGACCTATTTCTTCTTCACAACATCGTATCGCATTACTGCCTCTACGCGGGGCTCTCTATCGCCCAAGATGTCGTACAATCCTCGAATGAGCATCATTCCCACCAACCAAACCCAGTCGCGAAACACCCGCAAAAAGGAAGATGAGGCCGACGCGTTCATGCGCCTCCCCGACAAGGAGATTGTCGGCTGCATAACGGACATCGGAATCCCCTTTACTGTCGCCGACCTCCAGAAACCCAACCCTCTCCAGGTCCAGATGATCTTCGAGTGGTTCGCCGAGCTGCTACTCAATGCCACTCGCGAGACCGTTGAGCCTGCCATGCGCGCTGCCGCCGAGGACATTTGCGGCGAATACTCCGACGTCGTCCCTCCCGACACTCGCAACCTGATGGGCTTCTACGTCTCTCTGCGTCGTCTGCTCGCCGAATGCGGAATTAATGATTTCAGCTTCAACGACTTGTACAAGCCGTCGCACGATCGCCTCGTCAAGATCTTCAGCTACCTCATCAACTTCGTGCGCTTCCGCGAGTCGCAAACGAGTGTCATCGACGATCACTTCAACAAGGCCGAGACCACCAAGGCGCGTATCGAGAGCTTGTACTCGGAAAACCAAGAGATGGAGGTGCGCATTGCCGACATGAAACGCAACCGCAAGGCAATGGAGGCCCAGGTGCGCGAGAAGACGACGCGCAATGAGGAGCTGAAGCAGAGGCTATTGGACCTCCGTCGCAACCAGGAGCGTGTGGCTGCCCGTCTCGAGGACGCCAAGGTCAAGAAGACGGAGCTCACGGCCACTCTGGAGGACAAGACGGCGCAGAAGCTGGCATTGAAGCAGGAGAGCCAGAAGCTGAGGCCATATGTCATGCAGAGCCCTTCTGCGCTACAGTCCAGCTTGACCGAGCTGAGCAACACTCTCAACAGTGAAAAGTCACACATTGACTCACTGGACCGTCGCTCGCGTGCCCTGCAGACCTCGGCCGACTCCTTTGCTGTGGTCTCAACCGATGTGGCGTCCTGTATCAAGATCCTCGACGAAATCGGCGTCGAACTGGCCAAAGAGGAGGAAGAGAACCTCAAGAACGCCAAGCAGCGAGACGCTCTTTCCGAGCGCGGTAACAACGTACGCGAGGTTGAGCGGACCGAGTCTCTGCTATCGAGGCAGCTGGTCAAGTGGAACGAGCGGACTGAAAAGCTCCGTGAACAGAGCTCTGCCAAGGCTCACGAGGCCAAGGAGAAGATGGAGGAGTTGCGCGCAGTTCACCGGAAGCTTACCGAGGAGCGAACGGAGAAGGGCAAAGATATGGAGAGACGGAGAGTTCGTATTGAACAGACGGAGAAGAAGGTACGTTACATGTCACTCTTTTTGTTCAATGACACTATGCAACAGTATACTGACCCTTTGGCAGATGCTCGATCTCAAGGAGAACATCGAGAATGAGATCCACAGCGCCTACGACGAGTTCCTCAAGATGGACTCCCACATCAAACTGTACATCACCGAGATGGAGCAGGCGATTTGAAGTGAGGGTCTCTTTTTGTCCATGATCAATTTTGCAACGAAGACATGATTTAGAGATACCACGGGCTCGGCGTTTGGGGTTGGGGGCCGTCGATTTACGTACGTGCGAAGGAGGACCACGGATCCAGTACTCTTTGTACATATTTACGTGAAGCATGCAGACCACATGCACACCGTCTGCTATGAAGAATCCTTGTTTTCTGGCCACTCAACATCCCACTGTCCCTCTTGAAAGCGAAACCATCTGCCAAGCACGCGTCTCACCTCGACTGTCCTCCCGGTCCAGCCGCCCTCGTCCCTTTTTGAGCTTCCGCTCAGTATTGGCGCAGGCTCTCTCAAGAGAGAATCAAAATCTTGGTGTCGACCGGCGCCTTTGGGTTCAACGATGATTGGTTTGAAACCAGCGCGTTGAGCTGCCTCCACCAAGATGGCAGCTGAGTTACTGATACCCTGGGCACTCCACTCACTGCTGTCCCTGTGAAGGTCCATGAAGCCGTAGACGAGAAGCAACGGCGGTTTGTCTTTGGCCGACGGCGGGGGCAGATTTGGGGGAGCTGGCGTTGATGAATCTGCAGCAGAGAAGACGGAGAGGTTGGCGCGGAGGTGGGTGACTGTCGGGACGAATATAACACGAATGTGGCGTGCGATAACTTGCTGGAAGATTGGTTTGGCGAAGAGAGGATGAGGAGGGTCTTCGTCGGCGTTCTGGAGTTGTTCTTGGGTGAATTGGCTCTTGATGTCTGCCACGAGGGACAGCATGAATTCCTCTTGGGAGTAACAGATGACGAGCGTTGTCGGATAGATTTGATAGGTCCTGATGTAGTGAAGCAGCTCGGAAGGTGAGGCTGGCGACAGGACCTTGGGCGAAGCCATCCTCTAGTGCATTAGGTAGAGGAAGAGGACGATTGTTTTGTGATGATGATGAGGTTTCTGCTTGTGTAAGTGAGTGACATTCTTGAACAAGCACCTCGAGAACGGTGGATGGCTGGCCGAGCTGTAAGGTTGAATCGGCGCACCAGTGCTGGGCTGTTTACTTGTGGTGGGGCAGCGCATCTTCAGTGGGGGCGCCCGAACCATCCCGCTGCAGCTGCGGCAAGCTTCTCGCTGGATCGGGCCCCTTAGCACGTCAGCCAGGGCAATCACGCCCGGAGAGACGGGCAGCCTCTCCACTACCCCTCGCCGCGGTGCACCGTGGTCGTCCGCTCAGCTTTCGCACCTACCTAAGCACCAACGTCATTTCCCTCCCTGCCACTTCGCCAGCTTCCATCTCCAAATCCAACGTCGCCCTCGAAGCTTGACCCCCGAGCTCCGACCTGTCCACCGTTGGCCCGGCATGGAGTCCATAGCGAGGATATCGAGCCTCCTCGAGAGCGGTGCGTACCTCCGTCATCGCCGTCGCCAACGCAGTGTTTCCGTGTCCTCTGCCTCTGTCCTCAGTATGCTAACGACCTCTTGGTACAGCTCGGGAGCTGACCCTCGATGCCGCCTCGGCGACGCGCAGCGCCCGCAGCACCAGCCGCCCTCTCGACCGTACACAGATCAAGAAGCTGCTGGACAGTCGAAATGAGCGCGAGGTTCTCGACGGCCTCCGCCGCGTCCTCTCCGTACGAAACCTCCCCGCCGGCTGCAGTCCAGGTCAAGACTAACTTCGCCCACCATCAGATGATGTATCGTGGCCAGAAGACCTTACCCTTCTTCTCCTCCGTCGTCAAGAATGTTGCTTCGCCGAACATCGAGATCAAGAAGCTGGTCTACATATACCTCATCCACCATGCCGAGCAAGAGCCCGACCTCGCCCTCCTCTCCATCAACACCATACAGAAATCCCTCTCCGACACGAACCCCCAGGTTCGCGCTCTCGCTCTCAAGACCATGTCTGGTATCCGAGTTCCCGTCATCAGCCAAATCGTGTCTCTTGCGATCAAGAAGGGCGTCGCAGACATGAGCCCCTTCGTGCGCCGAGCCGCTGCTCTCTCCATCCCCAAGTGCTATCGTCTCGACCCAACCCAGTTACCCCAACTCCTCGACTATTTGACCACCCTACTTGGCGACAAACAGTACTTCGTCGCAGGTGCAGCGGTATCGGCTTTCCTTGAGGTTTGCCCAGAACGGATCGATCTCATCCACCAACATTACCGCGCCTTGGTCAAGAAGATTGTGGATATGGACGAATGGAGCCAGCTGGCAACGTTGCGGATGATGACCTACTACGCCAGAAAATGTTTCCCGAGGCGGATGCGCAGTGTAAAGAGTCAGGAGAAGACGGCGGACCTGGGCGACTTCTACGGCGAGACTACAGAGGATTCAGGAGATGAACAGCAAGTCGTGGTGCTGGACCCGGATCTCGCCATGCTCCTCAATGGAATCAAGCCTCTGCTTCAAAGCAGAAATTCGGCGGTCGTGATAGCTGTAACAAGATGCTATGTCGACATCGGGACGCCAGATTATGTCAAAATCTCCATTGGTCCATTGGTGGCACTCCTGAGGGGTGCGCAGGATATCCAGCAGGTCGCACTTTACAACATCGTCTCAGTCTGCTTGACAAGGCCGACTGATTTCGTCAAGTACGCCAGCCACTTTCTCGTCAGGGCTACGGACCCAGCGCAGGTGTGGGAGCTCAAGTTGGAAATCCTCACGCTCATCTTCCCCCACGCACCACCCCACATCAAGAGCTTAATCTTGAACGAGCTCGAGCATTTCTCAGGGTCCACGAACAAGGCATTGGTGCGAGAGGCAGTGCGTGCCATCGGACGATGCGCCCAAACCGACTCATCTACGGCGCCTCGTTGCCTACGGTTACTACTGGGCCAGATCACAAGCTTGGACGGCACCTTGGCGGCAGAGTCTTTGACCGTGATTCGACACTTGATCCAGCAAGACCCCCAGGGGCACGTTGGCACTGTCGTACGGTTGGCAAAGAATCTGGACTCGGCAACAGACCCTCAGGCCCGCGCAACAATCATCTGGCTGGTGGGCGAGTTTTCGGGTCTCAAGGGCGAGGATAATATTGCTGCCGATGTGCTGAGAATTCTCGTCAAGGATTTCGCCAGTGAATCGGAGGCAGCAAAAGGACAGATCTTGCTTCTGGCGGCGAAGGTCTACCTGCATCACCTTAATCGACTGAACGAGAACAAGAGCGAAGACGAAGCGGCTGTACCGAGTCAAGACGACCACCCGGTCGCCAAACTGTGGGACTATGTACTGCTGCTGGTGCGATACGATACTTCTTACGACCTTCGCGATCGCGCTCGCATGTATCGAGCCCTTCTGTCTGTACCGCAGCTTGCCACATTGATGCTACTGGCTCCGAAGCCAGCCCCTCAGGCCCCCAGCCCGTCGGAAACGCGCAAGGGGTTCATGCTTGGGTCATCGACGCTTGTGCTGGCAGGTGGGGGTGGAATCCATGGTTTGCGCGGTTATGATGCACTACCCGAGTGGGTGGCGGAAGGCTCGGAGCCAGACAGACGGTTGCGCGACACGGAGGCGGCGCCATCAGCTTACGGCGAAGAGAAGAGTATGCCAGCGAGTCAAATGCTCGATAGCGCTGTCAAGGCGGCACCGACAAAAACAAACGGTCTCGGAGAGGGCGTTGGGGGGAAGAGCTTGGACGATTGGCTCGCGGAGGGAGACGACGATGAAGAAGAGGAAGAAGAGTCTGAGAGCGAAGAAGACAGTGACGAAGAAGATGAGGAGGAAGACGACGACGACGATGATGAAGACGAAGACGATGATGAGGAGAGCGATAGTGACGACGGCGAAGGGGACAAGCTTGTCAAATCATGACAGCATTCAACACCAAACATACATTCATCCCTATAGCCCTCGCCTCACACTAGGTGAGCATACAAAATACGCAAAGCATTATCCTCCAAGAGTATGCCTCTTTCTTCGGGGTTCAACGGTCACCGCCAATGATCAGCTAGGAACACGCTGTGTATGTCTGCCCCAGCAACAGCAGATCTCACATAAGCCGGGTGCAGTAAACTCCGCGTGCCTTCTTTGAAATTCGGCGGGATTGATTATGCCGATAATCTAGATGCTGTGTTACAGCGCTACGGGGTTTGCTCCGGGGGCAATTAGTCTAGCCACGCGGGCGACAGGCATTTTCAACGACTCGCATGGACAACCGAGATTTCTCGGTTAGGAACTCGGGAGGCGCCCCCAAAAGACATCGCTTAACTCGTGTAGTTCGGTTAGCGATCGCAAGACGCGGACGAGTGGACACAACGCGGGCTCGGCCAAGGCGCTAGAGTGGGCTAAGACACGGGGTGTTGGTCTTGCGAATCTCCACTGGGACCCCGTGCCGGTGTCTTGAACTTGACCCAACTTGCTGTCTTTCCATGTTGCCTCTCGACGGGTGAAGATGAGCCGCAAACGGGGATATCTTTTGGCAGAGCTGGGGGTTTGGCTTGCGGAGAAAACGAATCGAAGAGAGAAGAAGAGATGTCTCAGTATGCTCATCACCCTCTACCGTCTCTGCCACGACTTATATGCCACATGCGACATGACCTTCCCAAGCCATCTATCTCACTGGATAAGCGCACGTCCAAAGGCCACTGGACACACCTATCCAATGGGCAATCAAGTCCCGTCTACGGGCGCATTGCTTTCCCATTCGAGAAGGCCAGCGGGTCCTCGGGAAGAAGACTGACATCTTGGCTCTAGGCTTAGCGCCTCCCGTTCGCCGCACCTTGATTTCAATGATTCGTCTGTCTAGCGGACCGCAAATACTCGCGTGGCTCGGTTTTCTCGTTCCCGTCATCGAAGCCCAGGCAGGCACGCAGGCCCGTCAGCACTCGGGCGGCGGCCGTTTGAAGGGTTGATTTGTCCAGATCCACCTCACTGCCCCGGTCAACGGAGGAAGAGATGGTGCGCAGTGATGATTCCGTGCACACATATATGTAGATCCTGCGCGCCCATGGTTGCTTACACTGCTGCGTCTCGTTCGTTTCATCTCTGTATCTGCATATGGTTTCGTTTGGACCCTTGATCTCCGTTCTTTTCATTGTCGATTTCATACATAATTTGACTCGGTCCCTGCTCCGCGGAAGACTACAGACAAGGCCATTTGCAGCATTTCGAAGACGAGTAATAGAATCGACAGACTGCTTGTGAGCGGCTCGCTCTGCGCCGTATACGTTTTGGGGCGATTTCTAGTCACCGAAAGCAGAACACGATAGGGATTTTCGATTAGAAGTAAACGCCGCCAACATGTCGACAAACAGCACAGGGGCTGGTCGCCGCTTCAAGGAGTGCACCGAAGTCTCGGACCTCTGTCCCGTTGACATGACGGTTCTTTCCTACTACCCAAACCTTGGCGCCAACATCTTTTTCGCGGTGGCCTTTGGCCTTGTCGTATTGACATCAGCCTTCCTCGGCATACGGAAGCGAACATGGTCTTTCATGGCCCTCGTCACGGGCGGTTGTGTCCTGGAAACAGTCGGTACGAGCTTCAATCATCCCATGTTTCGTCCGGCGAACACAAACACCTGCCCCAAGCTTCTTCCTTCGCGAGACTAACAAGGACGACCCAGGGTACGTCGGTCGTGTGCTCCTCCACGAGAATCCCTGGAACAAGGACGCCTTCCAGATGCAAATCTGCACCATCATCCTCGGCCCGACCTTCATCTGCGCAGGAATCTACCTCATCCTCAAGCACGTCTCCGCAAACCTCAACCCAGCCCTCTCACGAATCCGGCCCCGCCTCTATCCGCTCATCTTCCTCCCGGCCGATCTGACTTGCCTCGTGATCCAGGCGATTGGAGGAGGGCTGGCCGCCGCCGCAGGGCAGACGAACAAGTCTCTGCTGGACGGTGGCAACCGCGCCATCATCGCGGGCATCGTCCTGCAGGTTGTGGTGTTGATGGCCTTTGGCGCTGCCGGCGCAGACTACTTCATTCGCGTGAGGAGATGGGCGCGGAGCCCTGACACGGACCCCTCGGAGCTCACGCTCTGGAACGAGAAGAAGTTTAGGATGTTCATCTTCAGCATCATCGGGGCGTACGCCTGCGTCATGATTCGTTGCATCTACCGGTGAGTTTACAACATCGAGGTGAAGAGACATGAATACTGACGGCGAGACAGTATCGCTGAGATGGCCGGCGGATGGGGCAACCACATCATGCAGGACGAGATCTCGTTCATGATTCTCGACGGCGGACTCGTCCTCATTTGTGTGTCCCTGTTGACGATCTTCCACCCTGGTGTCTTCTTCCCGGCTATGGCCAACGCGCGCAAGGTTGAGGTGAGCGAGAAGAGCCAAACTACCACAACGTCGCCGGAAGGCACAAAGGTTGAATCCGGACGAGAGTCAGCATAAGAATGTCAGGTCGGTTTGGGGCTTCGAGAGAGCATGTTGATTTGAATAAGGACGAGGTCCTATCTCGAATGGCAACGTCCAACTAGAGATGATACATGGGATTCGATCAGAATCGTTAGAAGTGCGTTTACCAGCACTGATTGAATTTCAATGGTATTGTTAATTCCAGCCCATGCTATCCAATTCTTTGATGGTTTGATGCCTGTGCCTCGGTGTTGCCTCCCGTGGTCTTTGATACTAAGGACTTTCTGCCGGGCTTTTGCTCCTTTAATTGAGCACTCGAGACAACACCTTTTTGTACATCTCAATGATCTCGAATCAACAAACTGTTCAAGACTAGAATTGACCACAAGTCTCTGCGCTGTTCAGCTAGGTCCATGTACTCTTCTTTTGATGTCGTTTAACCATAGATATATCTAACACTCCGGTCCATGGACAACCACCCACCACATCGCACAACACCACCATGTGCTACGCGAACGTAATTCTCCATATTTGCAGCATCTGCAATACTCGGGCCGCCAAGCCCTCTGGCAAACTTGAAAAATGCCCCGCAGCTCCGGCTTCTGGGCCCCACTGCGGTGTTCTCCGTGACCCGACCCCTGATCCGGACCCGGCCGACCCGGCGCTCAACCCCTCCGGGCTGGAATTCGAAGCGCTGAAGGTCGCACCTGGGTATACTCTCATTGATGCAAGCCATCGGCGCCCCAAGCCGAAGCTTTACACTTGCGAGCTGTGTCTCGATCATCTCGGCCCCGAGGAGGCGAAAGCAAGGGCGCAGTGGTGGCGCAAGGAGCAAAGGTCTGTTTTGAAAGGGGGGAAAAGAGTCACTCCTGGTCCCTCGACAGCCGGCTGGGCTGACGTTCTTCGCAAGTAACATCCCGTCTCTCTATTCTTCAATTCTTCTAACAGCGAGACTGGCCAATCATGACTTTTCACCTCCAAGGTATCGATACACAACCGAGAAATCTCGTCCCTTACACCTCTCCTCCGCCTCTGCAGAAGCGTACACCTCCGTCGCGCGGTCAGCGAGCTCCAACTTCGCCCCGGCCTCCTTGGCAGCGACAACAGCGAGCCCCAGGTCCTTCTTCATCAGCCCGATCCCGAAGCCGCCCTTGTAGTCTCTCCCCGCCGGGCTTCCCTCGACGACGCCCTTGACAGGGTTGTTCACCTCGCTGGGCCAGCACTTGCCCGTGCTGACGTTGATCACGCCCGCAAGCACTTTCGGATCGAGTCCCCACTTGATACCGAGATTCATCGCTTCGGCAGTGGCGATGTTGTTGATCGCCAGCAGGTAATTGTTCGCCAGCTTCGCGGAGAGACCGGTTCCCTGCGGTCCACAGTGCAGCACGCGCCGGCCCATGCGGAGAAGGACGGGCTCGATGCGCGCAAGATGGGATTCTTCGCAGCCGAGCATGAACGTCAGGGTGCCGGCCGTGGCGCCGACGACGCCGCCCGACATTGGTGCATCGACAAAGATGCCCGACGGCTGTGCTGCTGCAACGGAGGCGGCGACTTCGCGGGAGGACGAGGGGTCGATTGTGGAGCAGTCTATGAAGATGCGTGGACGAGAGGGGAGGTCTGTGAGGATAGACTTGTAAACTGATTTTACGTGGGATGGTTCTGGTAGAACTGTTATAACGGTGTCCTGGGTTTGTTAGTCTTGCCTCGCTTCAAGACGTTTGACAAGAAGACCAAAGAAAAACACACCATCCGGCCAAGACGGGAGGAGAATAAGCATTGCCAGTGACACATTTGAAACGCCAAAAAACGAGATTCATGTGGAAGAGCCAACGTACTGCTTCTGTCGAGGCATCCCTCGCGCTGTCCACAATGGCGACCTTGGCGCCGCCAGTCTGCGACTGTCCCATCTCCTTAGCCAGGTTCGAGACAGCGTCCTTGTTGATATCGAAGATGCGGATCTCATCTTTGGGGCTCAACTTTGACTGGAGGTTCTTGGCCATTTGGTAACCCTAGGTAGTTCAGTCAATTGCTGAGTTCCGTCAAGATGCCATAACGTGGAAGCCGTCGGGAATCTCACCATCTGCCCCAAGCCGATGAAGCCATAACTATCCAAGCGACGCGGCGTGGTCGCAAACCCACGCCGTTGGGCAACTCGGAGGGTCCGTAGCGAGCTCGAACGCATCTTTCAAATAGCAAACAAGTCAAGTAAAGTGAATGGAGTCGAGTGGTAATTCCGAGAGACTTGAAAACGGCAGTGCATAGAAACAAAAAGTCCAGTCCCCCCCCACGATCGAGCTCGCGCGGCTAGACGAGGCGCATTCCAACCGAGCTACCCCAAGCTCCTCATACTGCGGGGAGGGTTACGCTTATCCGGGGAGCCGGCCATTGCCGGTGTTAGCCACCAGTGTGATGAGACGAGAGGTGTGCGCGGATGACCTTGGCCCGACCCGAGACCATGATGTTGTACCCCCAAACGGCCCCTGCCCCTCCTCCCCCATGCATGGCGTCAGCGGCCCCGGATTGGAGAAAAAGAGGGACCCGACCGAGAAAGCTTCGAGACACCGACGACGGTGTAGTTGGCCTGCCTAGCATCTGTTTTGGCGCTCGGCCAGGGATACATGGATGAGCTCAGTGAGAACTGATCAATTCAAGAACAATGGATTCGATTCATCTGTAAACCGGTGCTTACTGCGAATGAGCGAGTACATTCAACTGGACAACGCCGAAACATCACGATACCTAAGACAACTCGACATCTGTACATCCCTCCATGCTCGTGCGCAAACAAAGCAAGCACCAGAACGATACATCGATTACAATACCCGTCAATCCTGAACCGTGAATCGCCCTCCGTGTCGCCTTTTCGCCCAGAAGGCGCTTCCAATATACACATAGTTTGTCCCCACATCAACAATTCCCGAGTGAAAGAAAGCCGGCCTGGATCTGTCCCCGAGGCTCTATTTGGGTATGAGTGAAAGAAAGGCAATAAGCGATGTTAAAAATTGTGCCACCAGGTCTGCCATCCCAGCAACATCCCAAGAGCAACCGGAAACTCCGTTGCTCCGTTGGCCAGACCACCCGACTCATCCAAATGCTACTCAATTTTGAAAGCCGCCCAAGAATGTGTCCTCAATACTTACGAGGATACCTTAGAACGAACCGGTAAAATAAGAAAATGCACTATGGACACTGTTAGCATCGATCGTATCGCTAGTGAAGCACCGTAAGAACGTACCCAACGGCCACTGATAGCGCGGTCATGCCAAACAGAGCGCGCTTGCGCATGCCCTGCTTCTTGATTTGGACCTGGGCGGCCTCTTGTGTTTTGGCCTTCTTTGAGCGAGGCTCTTCCGCAGCGGCAGCCACACCATCCTTCTTTTCATCCTCGTCGTCCCCTGTTGAAATTTGCTCGGCTCCACGCTTGCCCTTCTTGTTGCCGCCTTCTTGTTTCGCGGCCTCGACCATCTGTCTAGCCTCAGCAATCATGCGAGCCGTCTCCTCGGCGCTAGGGGGCTGGGAGCTCATCAGAGGAAGCTCGAGTGAGACGGAGGTGGTCTTCTTCTCGTTCCCATCCTCATCTGTCTTGACGTCCTGGTCAACGAAGACCTTAGCCTTGGGCTCCTCCTCTCTCGGGTCGAGTACAACTGCAGGCTCTGCCTCAACAGTCTTGATAATAGTTTCGACCTCGGCCTCTGCGTTCTTGTCCTCGCTGATGACACCGTTAATTTCGAGCTTAGTGGTAGAGAGGGCGGGCGTTGTCTCGCGGGGCTCGACCGAGTCGGCCTTCGCCCTGCGCTTCCGAGGCGATCTGGTAGGTCTAGGGATAACCGTCTTGGTTGGGCTGGCTGAGCGGCGGGATCTGCGGAGCGTTGTGGGAGTGGCAGGGGGAGCCAGGCTGGGAGTCGGCTTCACGAACTCGAACTTGGGGGGCGCGGTGATTTTCTTGGGCGGGCTATCAGGAGTATTGGAGACAGAGATGTTGGCGGGGTCGAGTAGAGCGCGAATCCAGGGCAGGATACGATACTCCTCAGCCAGGGTAAGGGCGTGCTCAGGAGGAATCCAAACGTTGCCAGCAGTCTCCTCGGGGCTCGTAGTCGCGAGGGACTTGATGTACTTTCGTTCAGCCTCCTCCTCGGAAGCCTCGGCGTAAGGGAAGGTGGCCTTGAACATGCCGGTAGCAGATACGAAGCCGTCATGACTTCTCCGCATAAGGAAGTAGCTGTTAGGGCTCGACTTGAAGATACCAGAGACGATACCCTTGGGAAGGGGAGCGCGCAGATGAGCGTAATCGAAGACGCCGAGGGCACCACTGTCGCCATCCGGAACGTTAACCATCTTGGCTGTCAACTGGGTCTGGCCGAGGCGGCGACGCGAAACGAGGTCCTTGTCTGCGAGGATGTGAGCAAAAGTCCACGGGGGGCGCGATCGACAGGGCATCCTACAAGGGGGCACATCGTCGAGCAATAGAGGATTGTGCTTGGTTGGCAGATGCCTCTCAACGGCAGGAGCTGTGGCCGAAGGCATTTTGAGTTGAGAATGGGATGCGCGCGCGTCGACGGTATTGGTGATTAAAGGCGAGTAGTTGGGGTAGTTGCGATGTGCGCGTCAAGGCAACCGAGGGGTGATTGCTCGGATCGCGTTTGTCGGGAATCGGTCAGGGTTGATCGGAGGAGACGGGAAAGGACTAAAGGTGAATCGGCGCGTCAGTCTGAGCACCTTGTATGGTACGTTGGGCGCGCGGAAAAAGCGGCGATGGTGTCGCTTACGGGACTCGTTCGGAGCTGGCGAGACGTGACGGGTAGACCTGTCGCGTAGAATAGTTGCAGGGGTGGAGATGATGTCAATGAAAGAGATTAGAATTGGTTTGTATAGCAAGCAAACGGGAGCAGAGTCCCGGCGAAGGGTGAGAAAACTCAAAGGGCGACGGATGTGTCTCAAAAGGATGGGTGATGGAGGGAAAAAAAAGGGTAGACGGAGGAGAATGAGGAGATGGGCGCGAGACGGGAAGAGAAGAAGTGTGGATGGGCAGGCGCGCGCGCGCAAATTGGACCTGCTGGAGCAGCAACGACCGACGGGAAGGAGGAGCGATGGCAGCGGCAGCAGCAGCACCAGCGACAGTGGGTAGCACTCGCAGCAAGCACTTGCGCCAGCTGCTGCGATCGATAGCTCCGACAATGATTCGGGGGACAGTGGGAGGGTCCAGCAGTCCTCTGTTCATTGGGTTAATTTGGGTGAAAAGGGTCCTAGCAGCAGTTGGGGGGGGCATGGGGGGCTCGCAAGGTGAATGGGCTGAAGCGTCCCGATGAAGAAGACACGAGGATACGCGACATAGGAAGATACTTAGATTCTTGGTGTATTTTCTATGTGAAAACTATGTACTAGTCTACTGCATCTGCCTACCACCTTGGGAGACCACCTCCTCCCCTGGTGCTTTCCCCAGAGAGGGTACATGCAATACGGTAAGGCGCGCTTCGAGAAAAAAGAAGAGAAAAATGTCGTCCCCTGAGCAAACCAGGAGGGAAATCACCAGATGCGACGGTCCCCTTCTCTCCTTTCCCGTTGCGTGACCCCTGGCAAGACTGCGTTTTCTTCCATTGGCAGGCCGCGGTGATCGTCTCGAAGGTTTCTCTGGTTGAGCACACGTTGCCTCAGTTTTAGGCTAGAGTCGTCGCAAAGTCGCAGCGCCGAACTCTTTCCTCTCTCATTCTCTGAGGCTCCAGTCGCAGACCTGCTGGTCCCTGCTTCTTCCTCAGCGCTCTCGAAAAATTCCCAACATTCTCGTCGCGTACGCGCAAAGCTCAGAGCATCCCGGGAACCGTTCGCAGCAAGAAGCGGGGGGAAGAGCCACAGTGCAAGGGGCTGTCGGTGGCTTCATCGCGGATTTGAGGGTCACACGTCCAACATGGATTGTCCCTCTCCTTGCCGCACACTCTTCGTCGCAACCAGACGAGCAGCGACCATCTCCAGGGCTAAGCTTCGAGCAGTGAGGAGAGCATCTCAGACCACAGGCGCGGGGGTTACCTTAGCACCCATAGCTACTAAATCAAGCTTATGAGGGAGGCTGCTGCAACGGGCCAACCGCGTCGCTCCAAGTCATCCGACTACCACGTTGCTGTCTGTCACCGTTGATGTGCGACCAACCGATCAATGAATGACAAGCGAAGGCACCCTCTCAGAAACAAAGGACGATCTAGCGATGCGGATAAATGCCTGAAGCTCTCACCATACCCAGATCGGAGCTTCAAGGGGCCGGACCCAGGCACCGAATGGAGGCGGCGGCGCTGGCTGGACAACGAATATGAGAACCCAAGCCGTCATCTTTATGTTGCTACCAATAGCTCCAGGCTATTCGTACAGAATTGTTCCTTCTTGGGTGTCTGTCTGGCAATTGCGGTCAGGCGATGACACGGATGATGATGCAGGCGAGAATGATTTACACCTCAGAGGCAGAGGGGAGGGAATACGTAGCAGTTATGCAAGGTGCATAAAATAGGCATGCATTCGTGATGCGTGGAGAGATAAGATACGAAGAGCCTCTCGGTCTGCATTCACAAGCACACAAGCTGCAGGTTCATGTCAACCACCAGAACACCCCCACATCCTGGTGGCTGATGGATGGACTTCCGCAAGCCACATGGTTCTCCTCCTCCGCCATGCGTTGTTCATGTCTAGGAATTGTCAAGCTCATGCTCATACTCAGGAACCCCAGGAACGGCGGCAGGTCGGCAGAATGTGAATGTCGGCACCGGCATCCTGATTGCGGCTGGCCAGGCACCGGACTCGGTCGCAGACGGCACGGGGGCGAGCGAATTACCTTGGGACCCTGCCTCTCATGAGCTGCAGTCGTCCAGACCGCTCCTCCAAAGACCTTGGCCAATATCGACGGATGGCCCCCTCTGCCCCTCCACGCCGCATCGAGATTGGCCGTCAATGACACCCATGAGGGGCAGATTGCTACGCAGAAAGGTACTCTGTACCGTCCTGCAGTCTCAACGGTCATCATTGAGGGGCAGTGGCCAAACGTGCCTGTGTTAGGTATTGCCTCTTAACAACCCCTCCATCCAGTTATCACCTAGGCCATGGATGCCGATGATACCAGAAGCAAGATGCGGCAAGCACGAAGGCAATCGTGATCCTCTTCTCCTCCTGTACGCAGCACACTACCACGCCTCAACACCTGCTGGCAGATGCAAACGAGGACTCTGTGGACGGTACTCTGTAGGTAGGTGGGAAAAGTGCCTGGTTTCGTGTGTGAAGTTCCATGCTGTTCCAGATGTCGGCCAATCAATGCAAGCCGAACCCCACCATCGTTTTCGGCCAATGGCAGAGCTCGATTCGTCTAGTGTAGGCGGTCCTGGCTCCACAATCCACAGCACTGAGCCCCACATCCAGCGCCCACAGCCCGCCGGTTGGCCTGTCCGCGGCCAGTCCTTCAGGTCACTGCTGGGCCTGGGCCGGGAGCCGTGAGGGGCAACCTCAGCAAAGCATTGGAGGAGGATGAGGAAGCGTCCAGGTCTAGCTGGTCGCTGAGGTGGTCTGGTCGACTGGACGCATCGAATGGAAGGAAGCGGTGACCTGCTTGCCGTAGCGTGCCACGCCTGACCCCCGAGTACCTGCCTCCGGGTTCCAGCCTCCAACCTCCAGCAAAGCTCCTACCTTGCCTTGCCTTGCCTTGCCGTGCCTTGCCTGCCTTACCTTAACTCATCAACCGACCCTGAACCTAAACTTCTCCTCCAGAGTGAACATCGTCACAGATCTCTCATCTCAGCTTACGCACCGCCTCTCTCTGCTGCTGCTGCTGCCGTTGTTCGATATCCAGCGCCTCTTCCAGCACCGCCAATACCCAATACATTCAACTCTCTCACCCAAAGCTCTCACCGATACCCCACCATCAAGATGGCTTCCCACGAGCAAGAGGACACCATGCCTGAGGAGACTCAGGGCTACAAGCTCTCCCAGCCCAAGCAGAGTCTCGCTGAGTACCAGAAGATGGGTGAGTCCTGATTCTCTTTCAGTATGATTTGTGTTGTGTCTTTATCTCCATTGTCTGCCTTCACCTTTGCCACATCATGCTCTGAGTGGACGACACAGCTGGGGATGGGTCCTTTGTGTGTGCCCCTCACCTCACCTCTGCACCTTTGTTAGAGATGGGTGTGTGCCAGAAGAGAGCTCCCAGAGCTCCTCACTCACCTCGGTGACAGCAAGTGCTCATGCTATTCAGCACTGAATACGTGCTAAACACCATCATGAGCTCCAAGCTGGGAAAGACCACCCAGGACAGGAGCTCCTCCTGCCTGTCCAGCTACTACCAGCACCTCATCACACATCCTTCACCATCACATCACTCCCATCAAACCTGCCTCTCATCACCAGTCGCCTCCTTCACCTTTGTTTTTGGGTAGTTGCTGTACTGCAAAAAACAAAAAACACAAAGACACAAGCAATATCAACGCGATATGGAGAGGCTGTACGAGGGTATACGCCAGGTTATGCGGCGCCAAAACCGCCATAACGCCTTGCAGCATCGCAACTCCATTGAAGTGCCTCCGGCGCCCCTCAACACCCCATCTGAGTCTCGCGCCCAGTCTCCAGCCCTTGCTGCAGCTGGTGGTGGTATATCAGAGCTTGCTTCCTTGGAAAGCCAACTTCACCGAGCCAGAGCCCTCTCACGACCTGTGCCCCCCAATCCTCCCAACTCCCCCAAATCCCAGCCGCAGCAGCAACGGCAAGACCCAGCCCTCATCCGGGACTTCTACACCTCACCCAACGCAGTTCTAGCAGCTCATGGAGTCAATGTTGATACATACGAGCTTGGAGATTTTGACCAAGAAGATGGAGAAATCACCCCGACTAACGCGACAACAGACCAGAACGATGAGTCTCTCCAGCGCTACAAGGAGTCCCTCGGCCTCGGCGGCGGCAAGGACCTCTCTGACCCCAGCGATCCCCGTGTCTGCATCATCCTCTCCCTGACCATGGAGTCCCCCGGCCGCGACCCCGTCACCATCGACCTGTCCGCCCCCGGCTCCGAAGCCAGCCTGAAGGACAAGCCCTTCAAGATCAAGGAGGGTGCCAAGTTCACCATGGTTGCCACCTTCAAGGTCCAGCACGAGATTCTCAGCGGTCTCCAGTACGTCCAGGTCGTCAAGCGCAAGGGAATCAAGGTCAGCAAGGACTCTGAGATGCTGGTACGTTTTCCCTCCTCGTCCACGAGCGGCTCTGATTGATGACGACTGACCCCCCTCGCAGGGTAGCTATGCTCCCAACACTGACAAGCAGACCACCTACACCAAGCGCTGTAGGTTTCCCCCTTAACGACTGGCTCACTTTTGTTTTTGAACCCAGTTGGCTGACAATCCATAGTCCAAGAGGAGGACGCCCCCTCCGGCATGCTCGCCCGTGGCCACTACAACGCCATCTCCAGCTTCGTTGACGACGACAAGAAGACCCATTTGACTTTCGAGTGGTCTTTCGACATCGCCAAGGACTGGTAGACGGGATGAGGCATCCTGATTCGCTCATTGTCACTCTCCTACTCGAACGTCGATGAAAGGGGCAGCAAGTCTTGTCTCGCCCAGCCATGGCCACGGCCCCGCGACGGTCTTGAGAATGCCGTGTCGAGTTCGAAGAAGCGACGATGATTTTAGAGACCGTGTTCAGCGAGCTGGATGATCCATCCGTCTGCGCAGGCGACTACTCCCCAGGACCTGCCATCTGTTCCAACCTGGGGGACCTGGGAGGACGGAGGCCCTCCCTCCCCATCACTCACTCAAGTTACAAATTCAAAAGAAAAAAAAAAAAACAAAGAAACACACACAACGCCGATGTCCTTTCACTAGGAGAGAAAAACAACACACATGCAACCTTCCAAGGGGGGATGGCCGGATGGGAAAGTTGTTGCTAAATTTTTGCTTCCACCTTATACAGGTCTGGCACACATGAAGTCACGAATCACACAAAAGATTGGTCGGTAGATGGCAGATAGCTCCAGTCTCATCAGCTTGGGATCCTATTTTGTTTCCGAGCGGAATACAAATCCATTGGATCGTCATCATATCATTGTGTCCCTCTTCTTCTTCTATGTGTCTAGTCCCTTTTGACTCGTAAAAGAGACAGGTCTAGCGACTGACCAGCTGTATGTATATGTCTTTCTGACGTGGGGTCGAGTGAGTCTTTGTCACAGAGCCGTTATGCTATATCGTCATGGTTCATTGGAAGTTTACGTGTGCTCCCAAGGCAGCTACCACCAAGTTGGTTGGTTCGTGGGGGTGATCTTCCTGTGGCACAGACAATCCAATCGTGTTGTTGCCGTCTTCCACCTTGGAGGCCTGTGGTACTACTACAGGAAGTAGTCGGGCAGCGAGTTTCCATCTGCCTGCTTCTCTCCGCCAGGCTGCATGTCCTTGTGCTGGTCGTTCTCTGGAGCCGCCGCAAAGACGTTGAAGAACCTCTCGCCCGTGTCGCTAACCTCCAGTACACTAGCCATATTGCCACACCTGTAGCAGTAGTTGGGCGCGCTCCAGACCGTGCTCAGGCGGTCATCGTACAGGACCTGGAAGCCCTCCTGACACAGCTGGTGGGCTCTGAGGATGTGATCCATGTTGTTTACCGCCAGGAACTTCTTGACTACTTGCGCGCCAAAGGTGTAGCCTGCCCCGCGGGGGCTGAGGGAAAACTCGTCTCGCTCGGGGTCTGGATCGGACCATACAAGGTCAGCCATGGGGCCTTCGTGTGGAATCTCGCGGAAGCGGTCGATGATGACGATTTGGTCGATCGAGTGGATGGACGGGGATAGGCCTGTACGCAACAATAAGTCAGCATGCTGAAGCTTTGGAGTAGGCGGTCGAGTTATGGGGACACATACCGCCATGGACGCAAAAGATCTTGTCGTTGATGACCACACTCAGAGTCAGGAAGTCAAACATGTCGGTGAAATAGTGCCATACATTGGCATTGCCGTATTTCCTGGAGCACTCGGTGTAGAAGCCGTATGATTGGGTTACGCCGCGAGATTCATGGTTGCCTCGGATCAAATGAACGCGATTGGGGTATCGAAGTTTCAAGCACACAAGCAAAGAAATGGTCTCGACGCTGAACATGCCACGGTCGACGTAGTCTCCTGAAGGGGGGCAAGGACTGTCAGTCGTATTCTTGACCAATACTTCTGCCGATTTTCTTCCAAGTCATAACACAAGACTCACCTAGGAACAGATAGTTGGTGTCTGGGCACCATCCGCCAATCTTGAATATCTCAATCAGGTCGTAGAACTGACCGTGGATATCGCCGACGACGGTAACGGGGGCGCGGACGTGAACGACGTTGCTCTCGCGCATTAGCAGCTCCTTGGTCTTGGCGCATATGGCCTCAATGACGGACTCGGCGAGGAGCTCCCTCTTGTATAAGCGCGAGATACACTCGTCGAGGTCGACGGAAGCTATTGTGACGCGACGATAGTCAGCCGCGGGTGGTTCCTCGTGATCGGGCATGCATGACGCAGCATGGTGGTCGGAGTCTTACCTGGAAGACCGGGCATCGCGATGGTATGTTATGCGAAAGGTATTGCAAGGGCGTCGGCCTCGCTAGGGGAGGAAAGGATATTGAAAAGATGTCGCTACCAAGCGAGCAAGTGTTGGGTGCGGGTGCGGTAGCGGTACGGGTGCAGCAGCGAAGGCCGCTCACGAAGCGGGTCGGCGGTGACCACTTCTACTCCAGGCGCGGGCAATGTGTGGTGAGAAGCTTCGAGGTTGTGTGAACATGATCGAGAAGGACGAGTCTTTACATGGACAGAGGTGCGCGGCGGCGGCGGCGTCGACGAGGGGTGGTTGCGTTGTGGGCGGTTCGAGGTGGACGGCGGCGGGGGGTATATACGTAGACGCGGGGGATGGGTTGCCCACGATGCCTGTCGTCCGTCTCGTCAAACCTTGGACGGTGGTCTCGTCAGTAGTCCACGCGAGGAGAAAGGAGCGACGAAAGGGAGGGCGCGTCTACGAGGAGGATGGCCGCGGGAGAAAAAGAGGTTGTCGTGACTGGTCGGTGTCCCTGACTTTTTTTTTTTTCGTTGGTCTTTAGACGGGCGACAGCAGCGGCTGCAGAAGCAAGGACGTCATGCTGTGAAAGACGGGCAACCATGCAATTCAATCCACCATCTCAAATTGGCAGCAGAGGGCAGGCAGCTTGGGAGCTCGGACCTGGCTGAGAAATGCGAATCCAGACGAAGGGGAACAGCCCGTACCTGAGTTGACCTGAGTATCGCTTACGTACACCCGGCATTATTAGGGGCCATGTCCGCTGCAAGCCCCTGGCAGAAGACGCTGAGGAATTCCTTGGCCAGGGAAGCCTGGCTTCAAACGTCACCTCAGTCACCTGCCAGACTCAGGCAGCAGACCAGACCGTCCACACAGTCCTTCCATCCATTTGGTGCAATCAGATGCTGGAACGCAGGATTGGCCCGGGGCATAATTATAAAGAAGCGTCCATCCTCCCCTCCACCTTCCTCTCCCTCAACGCAGCCGCCCGCGCTCATTCTCCTTCTCTCTCTCGCACACTCTCTACCCTTCTCAACCTCTGTCGCCTGGATTCGCGCCCGTGTTCTTATTGCCATTGTCGTCGCCAACAGCAGAGCGAAAAATGCCCCGGTTTGATCAGCTGGTCCCGACAAGCGTTTTCGCCCGCATCTGCTACGTCTGCGTCTGTGTCTGCTGAGGGCGGATGCGGATTTGCGGTCACCTTTCCTTGCTTTTCCCCTCGTCCCGAGCACCACCTTATCCATATCTGCCGCAAAGCATCGCGTTGCGTACGGCTGCCAACGATCTTGGCTCCAAGGGAAATCACAGCACCTGGCATCTGCAGATTCTCATATCTGCCGTGGATTGGAAAACACTGCTCACTATTGCGTTTCCTTTGTCTTTGCTCCCAGCTTCAGCCTCCCGGATCGTCTTCGTGTCTTCTGCCCCTGCTACAGCCGCGAACTGTCGCGCGACGCTGAGCATGCGTTTCTTTTTCAGGGTCCAGACTGGTCTAGAAATATCTACATCTGTTTCATCATCCTGCTCATGAGATCGAGGAAGCTGTCATCGCAGCCGCGGCCTAGCCTGACATGCCTGCGCTTGAACGCGACGCGGCATCCAAATAGTCTCGCTTTCCATCTTTCTAGTTTTCATAGTGCCGTCCTGCTCCCAAACTGCTCTCCAGGCACCGTGTTCTGCCCCTTCATCCAATGCGCCAGGTGTCATGCCTTACTCTGTGCCTGGCCATTACCCGAGATCTCTCTCACAGAGTCTGCTACTGCTACTAGCAAGACAAGCCCTGTCGCGTTGATGGCTGGCTACATATGCATGATAGAGACATACCTTCGCCAGCAGCCTGTCACCTGAATGGTTCTGTGCCTGTCATACCACCCCGGGGATGAGGCTGACGGCAACCGTGGGAAGACAAGGCCATATCCTTCCTCCCTGGCCGTGTCACTCCTGTATCTTCCCGCCGCCCGCCCATCTTGCTGAATCAGATTGAGCGCTGCGTGCGACAAAGGCACCTATCTGACTGGACTGGCTGCCTTGAGCGATGGAAAAAGGAAGCATGACCGGGCCGATGTATTTCCGGTTCCCTCCTTTCAGCCCAGCCCGCTCAGCGCAGCCTTCCCTCCGCCTCGGAAGCTGTTGCCGCTGGGCGGTGGTGGGTGGTGCGGCGCTGTGCCTCAGCGGATAGGTACCCAGCCCCACTTTGCGCCTGAGCCTGGGCGCGCAACCTTGAACTTTGGTCAACTTCGTCGCGCTTCTCCTGTGCCCTCATCCTTGTATCGCATCGCCATGCCATCGCGTATGTGATATCGCCGCTCTCTACCACTCGTCTGGCTCTCGCGACTGCATGAGTGAGGTCATCGCTGGACTGAGTCTGCCCCGTCTGCTCGTCACCACAGACCATTGAGGAGGGACCGTCTGCCATGAGGCGATGCGCCGTCGCAGTCAGCACCAGCGCATTCCCTCGACGACACCTCTGAATGGCCTCATCCATCCCTTTTGACGTATATCAACTTGGTGCTAAGCCCTACGAGACATACCTTTTGGAAACAGCCTCTCATACGCACAACCTCACAGACTTCAACCATATGCTCTCGACCCTCTGATCCTAGCTGGTCTGCGTTACCTATCGCGGCATCGATCGAGGTTGGCTTACCCCCTCCAGAAGTTATTGCTGACTTCATTCTCACCGTTCCAAGCGCTAGACTCACTCGATTTCTGGAACAGACGCCAATCGTGCTGAAGCATCTGCTGACGCGTTCTCAGTCGGCACCTCAGTTGGGCGCATTGTTGTGTCTTGGGTGCGACTGTCTTTGTTTTTGGAGGCACAGCAGAGTCGTGACTCAGTTTCTGTGTCTGGAGTCGAATTCTGCGTTGTGTTCTACAGAGATTTTCGATCATAAATCATCCTTCATCATCAACTAAGGCCTCAGTGGCCCTCGCCGGCACGCCATTCGACCTCCATCCGACGAGGCTTCATCAGCAATGGCAGACTTCGCGCCAGGTATGGGACCAGCTACGAAAGAGCCCAGCTGCATTAACTGTGGCGGCGTTGGACATTGGGCCGTCGCGTGTCCCGAACCCGTCAGAGCCAAGCCAGCGTACGTTCATCAATCGGTCCATATTGCGCCGTAACTGCTTGGGCAAAGACTGACTCAAAAACAGGGGATTGACCCGCAAGCCCTCGACCGGCCATGACCACGGCCGAGGCAGCGATGCCCAGCACGGCGGCCGAAGATCGGGTCCGGTGGTCACAAAGTATGCTCCACCCGGCGGCAATCCGATCGTCACTCGCTACGCACCCCCGCCCAGCCAACCCCATGCTACGGCTCCTCCGTATCCCGGTCCCCCGCAGCCATACCCGTCTTATCCACCTCCCCCGGGTGGCTATGCACCTCCCCCACCCCCGAGCAGCTATCCCAGCTACTCTCAGTATGCATCGCCGCCCCCTCCACCTCCACCGCCATCTGCTTCCTATCCACCACCGCCTGGCCCTCCCGGCCCTCCAGGACCTCCTGCGCCATTCCAGTATGGAGCTTCTGGGCAGTATGGGGTCCATCCTCTCCCGGGACCTCCAGGGCCGCCTCGGCCTCCTCCTCCTCCTCCTCCGTCTTATCAGCCGCCTAGTTATCCTCCTGGCTCGGCATACCCCCCTTACGCACCTCCTGGATATCAGAGCAGTCCCCCTCCGCCTCCGGGCGGCCAGTACCCTCCGCCGGGTGGAAGCTACTCTTCCTCCAACTATGGGCCTCCTCCTCCTCAACCGCCTTACAGATCTCAGCCACCTCCCCCTCCTCCGCCATACGCCCAGTCCTACGCGCCTCCTGATCGTGGATACGGACCATCGCCGCCTCTGCCTGTCCCTCCTAGGGGTCCTCCCTTACCACACGGGCTGCCACCCATTCCCCCCACGCCTCAAAGAAACCACCCGCCACGGGATCGAAACAACCAGAATCGCCATGGCAAAAACAACCGCCAGGACCGCCGACAAGATCGCGGTCGTCGCAATAAGCATAACAACCAATCCAAAAGGGACCCATCGCAGTCTCAGCCAAAGCATGGCGCCAAAGACGCCACCAGGGAAGGCAACAACAATAATAACTCTGAAGTGGCCGAGCCAACCCCAACACCGAAGGCTGACCATGCTAAACCCGCAATCACTGCCAGCGATACGCCAGAAAGCCGGCATGCACCCACGGTGTCAGAGCATGGCGTCGACGAGGAAGACGACTGGAAGTGGGAAGAGGAAATGATATTCAAAGAACCAAACAAAACACACCAGCCAGACCCCATCGCCAAACCTCTCCCCGGGCCGTATGAGTATCATGATAACATCATGCTCCCTCCGGCCTGGAATGCGCCTTGTGTCCTTTCCGACTTTGTGAAGGAGAACAATCTGGAAGAGTTTTCGCGGCCGATTCGAGAGACCGAGTACTTCGCCACCCTCAGGCATGACCCGGTGTTTTGGAAGCCAGCGCCTGACGCCGGGAAGCTCAAGAAACCCGAAGTCAGAGAACGTATCAGCACGTTCAAATCGTCCCGCCTTCCAGGATTTCCGTCCCTGCCGCCAAAGCCGCCGACCCCGGAAAATCGAGACCATCGACATCCGAACGACCGCAAGCGTGCCTGGGATGACTCCCCGTACAAACAGTCCCGTGGAGGAGGTACACATGACAGTGACTCGCAGCAGAGCCGCTACAAAAGGCAGAAGGGCGAAGGACAGGGGGCATACGAGAATGCGTCGCCTCACAACCGACGAGGACGGGAAGACAGCAGAACGATCGACCGGTATCGAAGCCAAAGACCAGAGCGTACGGAGCATGAATCCAGCGATACCCATCTCAATTCTGCAGACAGCAGAGAGGCCGGGTCTGCCGTGCGCGAAAGAGAAGGGTACGTTGCCCGCCATGATTCGGGATACTACAGCTCTCGCCAAGTGCGTGGGCGACAAGAGTCCTCCAACGGCTTCCACGACCGGAGGCCGACGACTCCAACATTTCCTGGGACACCTGACAGCCGTCCACCCAGCAGGCAAGGGTCTCACCATTCGTGGCGCCGGGGATCTCATAGCAGTCACGCCGACTCGCGCCCGGCATCCAGACAATCCATGGCTTCGGGCGCCTCTCCTGGCGGCGAAGATTCAGACTTGGATGACCTTGAGGCCGAACTCTTGGGAATCTCGACAAAGACCAAGGGCGGAAAGGAAGGCAAACAAGGTGATGGTGGTGCGTTCAAGATTCGCAAGAAAGTCCCCAAAGTCGACTCTGCATACAGGTACATCAAGTTCAAAATCTACTTTACGTAGCATCAGCTGACCAGGTAAATAGCCGGCGATGGTGATATTCTCTATAACCACCTTCTATTCATCATCATAGTCATGGGCATGGTTTGCAAATCATGCCAAAGTAACAGTACCGTGGGCGGTGACAGGGTGGCAGTACCTGCACCAATTTCTTACAATTATTCACAAGCTACATTGAACGCGGGGATTCTGCCTTAATATTTGTTAATACAACGGTGTATCATCAAGCCCGGCGTTGGGATGGCCTCCTCTCGGCGGCCGAAGGAAAAGCACCTCGGATTAGGAAGAGTACGTCGTCGTCGTCGTGAGTGTAGAGAGACTTTGTTGGATGAAGTTGACGACGACGACGCCTCGCATTAAGCCTCTTCGCATTGTCCGAAGATGGCATGCGAATGGCCAGTTCAAAATCAAATTTGCGATTCATGATTTGAAATGTTTCCTCCTCTGTGATTCGCTAGGCGTGTTTAGTTTCGCCTCGCCTGACACAAGTCCGGTGTCATGTTGCTGGTGTGGCCGAGAAGAAGGGATAAGGCCTGAGCAATGGCTCGCTCTCTTCACTTCGGACGAGGCAGAGCAGGCGAACCTCGGATAAGTGGCCACACTTCAACCACGCGCGGATTTCTATCAGCGTGGCCGAGGCTGGATGGCAGCCTGGGCCATGTCTCTCCCATCAAAAACAAGCTTAAGCGATGGATCCGTTTCCGTCCGATAGGGGCGTGGGGAAGTTGACGGCGGTTGGTAGCCGTCAGGTCGCCAGTCGTTGTTGCTGGTAAAAACACCCAGACTCACAGTGGCCAGTCTCAGTTTCCGATTGTAAATTGTGGAAATCTCATCGTTCGACTGTGCCCCTAATGGTCTTGTTCTCACGTTTTCGTGTTCATGATGGGTAGGAAAATAATGTAATTAATTTTTCCATCACACCAAAAGTCTGTTCCTAACGGTCATTATCAAATATCAAGAAGTGTGCTGCTTCAATTTAGTCACACGATATCAGGCACAAAATGTAGTTTCAAACTCCGACTGGCGTCAATTGCTTATGGAAAAGTGACGACCTAATAAGAAAAGTATGTAGGATACAAAATAAAGAATGGCCGTTTCCAAAGCTCTATACCCAAGTCTGGAATTCCATCGCAGCTCCGTGGGAGTCCCTGACTCCCTGCGTGCTGGATTAAAATCCCCCAAACTCCCAGGCTTGACACCAAAACGCGAGGATCTCTCAAAAACCCACACAAAATAAAGAAGTGAAGATTTCTCGCTTATGCGCGGTTGTTGAGCTCCATGCGCTTCTTGATGCGGTAGGCGATGGCGCGCTTGCGGCCGGCGGCGGTCTGGGTGAAGGCAACAGAGCCACCGAAGGGGCCGGCGGCAGCGCCGTTGCGGACACGGGCAACGCAGACGCCAGAGGCCATGCCGACCTTGCCGTCGCAGGTCATGCCAGCGGGCATCTGGACCTTGACGGGGAAGTCGGTGTTGGTGGCGAGGGACAGACCCTGGATGCCGAGTCCCGGAACGTCCTGGGTGACCTGAGCGCTCTGGAAAGCAGACTCCTGGGTACCTCCGGAGGTACCGTCGACATCGGCGGTCAGGGGGCCGGCGCCGTCCTGGTTGATCTGGCGGAAGGTCATGGTGATGGTACCGTCATCAGCGCAAGTGGGCATGCCCTGGGCAGCACCCATACCGGCGGTAGCGGCGACGCGAGCCTCGGGGGGACCGTTCTGCTTGTTGCCCTTGTTCTTGCCACCACCACCGAAGAGGCCGGCGAGACCCTGGCGGACGTGCAGCTCGGCGCGCTTGGCGGCGTTGTTGGGGATGTTGTCCTCGACACCGGTTCCGGAGGCGGCACCGTTGTTCTTGGGGGCGGCGGCGCCACCCATGAAGTTGTTGATCATGACCTCGGCGGAGATGGGGCCGTTACCCTGAGTGCGACCAAGAGGGCCGACCTCGCCGGAGGAGATCTCGCGGTCGCGGATGATGGCGGTATCGGCCTGGGAGCCGCAGCCGTTGGAAGAGCAGTCACGGGGAGTGCCGTCGGCGACTTTGATGGTTGTGTTAGTGTCGATAATCCCAAAGAAAGCCGATGAAGCAGTCGAAGAAAAGACTTACCGGACAGACCGGGCATGGTGACACCGTTGGCGCCATCCATGGACACAACGAGGCCGTGGGCCGAGACGGAGGCGGCCAGAGCGGCGACGACAAGCGATTGGGAGCGCATTTTGATGAGTGAGAGTGGCGAGCTGGAGGAAACTTAGGAGTCGGAGGAGTTTTAGAGAATTAGAGAATGCGTTAATAAAAAGCCACCGGGGCTAAGTTGTGAAGAGAAGGGAAGATGAGAAGAGAAGGCTTGCTTTCTTAATGCTGCGTGATGAGAGAAGACAGAGAGGTTAGATTCGATGGTGTGGACGGGAGAGTTATATAGAAGAGATCTGGATGGTGGCCCTTGGCATTCCATATTTCCTCATGGCCAGGGGGACGAGATTTGACAAATTCCTAGGTGTGGGATGAGATGGGATGGATTTGGGAGGTTCGGAATCAGATCGTTCCATGCTGTTTGGTAGCAAGGGCAGAGCAGGCGAGTAGCAGCTCGTTGATGCCCATGGTCTGTTCTCAGCTGAACCGCGTTCGCCTCTCCCACTCACACACACACACACTCACTCTCTGCTGTGTGTGCGAGAGAGAGAGAGACTGAGAAGAGAAACCAAACCAACCTCCTAACGCCGCCGCCGCCGCAGCAGCCCGCCCGCACACACCCCCTAGTCGGCCTACCTTGCGTCCCCGATGCTACCTTGCACCTTGCAAACAATTGTCAGGGTCAGTGTGCCCCGTGTGGCTAGGACCTTGGGGAAGGGTGGATGGGGAGGGAGGAACAAGATGGCCGTCAGTCAAAGTCAACCTCAAGCAAAGCTCGGTATCGCGTCAAATCTAGTGGCACAGGCATGGGGCACAGGGGCGTGGATGAGAGAAAACGAGGGACAGACGGGGGCGTGTAGAAGCAGAGCTGAGATGGGTTTGGTTGAACCTCTGTGTGTGAGGAATTGAAATCGCTTGTCGAGGGTTCTCTTGCCGCGCAAGATGACGGGCTCACAATGAGACGACGAGACGGGGAAGAGACAGAGACAGCGGCCCCGGCAACGTCGGAGAAGAGTCAACTGGATACCAAGACGATGATGCGTCGTGGGGGATGGAAAACGAGGTTGAAGCTGCCAAGATGCGGCTCTGAGCAAATCGCATCTAAAGCGCTGGAGTAGGCGCCCACAGAAGAGAGGCGAGGGAGCACCCGCGAATCCACCCGCCCACTAGATCCGGGCTACTGCGCCTCATAGTACATGGCTGCTATGCAAGAGTACGTAAGGCAAGGTACGTGAGGTATGTCGGAATGATTTGAGTGATGTGCGGCAGGGCAGGGCAGGCAGGGCAGCACGGCAGGGTAGACAGGGCGGTGGGCGGTTGCGAAGCGGTCGCGAAGCGGTCGCGATGTGCGGCCGGGGTTCAAGCTCGAGAGCGACGTGGTGGTCGTGTGTCGAAGGGATGTGCGGTTAGGTTCACAGCTGCATGAAGCTTGGCGAATCTTTGCTCGTGAATCTGTTTCAGTGGAGTCTTGGCGGCGTTCAATGACCGTGCTGTGCCTGGTGCCTGTGCCTGTTGCTATGAGTGAGTGTGTGTGTCTATGTGTATGTGTGTGTACATGGAGGTGGAGGTGGATGATTTGAGTGAGTGTGGGCAAAAGAGAGTTGCAGTAGTCAGGAACGGGCAACGTGGGTTTGGAGTAGTCAGCCACCGTCTTGGGGATGAAGAAGCGGCTATTCGAGATCCGATTGGACCGTCAGTCGGGAACATGATGCAGGCTTCTTACGGCAGCCAAGAAGTTTACGGTTTCGGCGATCCGACTGGGATGGTGAGCAGATCTGGGGCATATACCATGCAGTACCGCAGTGCACCATACGAGTATTCCCATGGTGATGCCCACAGGGTCTAGGGATACACCAGCACTGAGATTGCCGTATCGCAAGAGGCTAAGCCTTTTCTTGGCCCCCGTATTTCTCCTGGCGAGAGTCTTGGTAGTCGGAGCTGTGTGACGGTGAGCCCGCAACGCCTAGGTTGGGAATCGGATCTACGCCGGGGCTGGAAACGCTGGTCCACGTTTTGGAGTCAGGAAACGCGGCCGTTCTCCGTACGGGGTACGGAGCATCTCGGTCGCGGGAGGCGAAGCGCTGCCCAAGGCCATGCGAGGTGGCGCCAACGGTTTTGGCCATGTTTAGTCTGTGGATCATGATTCAACGTCGTACATGAAGCTGAACCTCTGGAAGATCATCTCCTAGTGTTTCCCCCTTCTTCCACGGCGGTGAAGCATGATCAGCCGACGATGTGCGATGTGAGGTTCGGCTCGGGGAGGGTTCCCTTCGGCGCGGTGAAGGGTTCTATAGCGCGGGGAGGTGTGGTTTAACCTTATGACGAGCTTTCCAGCCGTTAGTCGCGGCGATATGTGCCATCGTGACCGATATCAAGCGACAGTAGGTTATCTGCTGGCATGCCGACAGGTCGGTAGAGTTCAGATTTCAGAGTTCATCGAGCCCAACGCCGGCTCCCAAATGAGGTGAGCAGAAGGGCGCTCGGGGCAGGAAACAGAAGGCGGTAGACGCGCGATGGAAGGCTTCTAGTGGGCTTGGGAGGCGTGTACGAAGGGTGTGGCCGTTGTCATTGTCACCTTTGGTCGTTGTGGCTGTCACCCTCCCCCTCTGACGATGGTGAAGGGGCAAAGACGGAACGGGAGCGCCAGAGACGACGACCTGATGTCAATGGAACGCAGCGAAAGCGACCCTGATCCGAGGACCGGCCGTGTGACCAGAAGCCTGTGCAGCGCTTGCCAGTGCAGTAAAGTGTGCTCGAGCTGACCCAGCGGCGAGGCAGCTTCAGGCTAGAACAAGCTGTTGAGAAACTGCCCGACATGAAGTGGATTCGGAGATTTAGAAGATGGAAGCCGGGAAGGCAGAGAGAGAGAGAGAGATCCATGGATCGTCAGCAAGGCCACCAGGGGAAGAAAAGGGGAGCCAGGAGGGCCAGGGTACCTTACCATGTACATAGGTAGGTACTTCATGTACGTACCGAGACACCCCTGACAAGAAGTTGAAACGGGACCCAAAATAGCGTCAAAGCTTGGGCAGGGCACTTTTAAGCTCAGCTCGTCGTGTGGGTTTCCGACGCAGCGGGTAGGCAGCCCACCACCTTTACCCATTCACCTTCACTTCACCTCCACCTCATCACGACCACCAACCATTGCCGTCATCGTTCTTCTCCTCGACAGGGAACCTCACTCTAGGTTGTCAAGGCAGTCTGGGTAAGGTAGGCATGGCATGGCATGCTTATTTGTGTGCACTGCTCTGCATGGCTTGCCCTTTTCTCTCTCGTTTTCGCCTTGCCAGACAGAACATGAAGAGTGAGATAGTATGTGTGTAGCCATAGAGATGCAGCACACCCTTTCGCCTCTCTTCCAATTCACCTCACCCATCCACTTACTTCCAAGCAGCGACATCGTGGCTGCCATACATCGCCTTACCTGACATTACCTTACATGCTGCCGTTGTGCCTTACCTTACCTTGCCTTAGTCCACCTACTAACTGCTTGGTATTACCCGCCCGCCTCCCTCCCTCCCGACTAATGCAGGCACAATGCTGCCAAAATGTCATCCCGCAACCTTATCCTCTGCCTCGTCACCTTGTCCAAGACTCTTCCAAATTACCTTTGCTTTACACTGTTACTACACTCTTGCTTTTCCTCGCTTTCAGACACGGGCTACTTTATGCCCCGTCCATCGACCCGAAATGCTTGACCCATTATCCAATTCGAGCCAAGGCCAGCTTACCCGTTGTGGTAATCTCGCTTTCGTCTCTTCCCGCGTCTAGTGGTTTCTTCACTTTATGCCTCCCCAAGTTCCTCTCAACAATATCAAATCCCACCTTCCATCTTTCGTTTCGAGCACAGCTTCTTGCCGCCTGCTACCTTACCCTGACCTGTTACTTGTTGCCTGCCAGCAAGTCTCTCAGGCTCAGGCCCTGCACTCGGGTGGCTGACATGACATGTGGCTCCCGTTCGCTCTGACATGCCACCGGCAAGGTCTTGCGAAGTACACGCGCACTCTCGGGCCTCTTCTGTGACAAGCCTGGTACACCTGGGCAGCAAGTCTGCCACCCAAAACCAAAATTCCAGAGACGGGATGTCTGTCTCGACCACTCATCCATCGTGACGTCGGCTCCTTTTTTCACACCCGCGACATAGCTCTCACACGCCCTCCGTTCATGGTCTCAACTTGCTCATACAACCGCCAGCTGAATCTCGCAACTCGTTTAAACCGGTGGAAACGTTTCCCCGACCGCTTGCATATCATACTGTAAATCTATCGCGATCCGTCCGATTCATCCAAATCTGTTTCTCCTGTCTCTGCGCGGATCGACTTCCTGCCGTTCCCCCCAAGGAGCTCCCGGACTTGCCCATCACACCCTCCATCATGGCACCGACCTGGGATATCGTGGTCCCCTACGAAATCGCCAAGGCCCTCACCTTGTCTTTACAACACTCAAAGTCATCTCACCTCGTTCACAGAGCAGGGCGTTACGTCCTGCCACGTCTGTCACCAAGGTCCTGGGCCAATCACCGGGATAGCCCGCGTGCGCCCAAGGGGCCTGACTAGGAGGGCTGTGCAGAAAGATCAAGACAATTCCAATTCTTTACTTCTGCCAAATAACCTACACAGTGGTCCCCGGTCGACGCCCATCTTTTTTGCTTCCAACCCTATTCGCCCCAAACGCTGCCACGTCTGGCCTTCGTCCCGTACAACCACCGGCCTCCCGGTGGTGGAAACCTGTCGACGAATGCCCGCGTCCTCAAGACGAGATGGCCGGTTTCCCAACCATTGGACTGGCGCGTTGGACACATGACATCCCTGCCGGTCTCTCCAGCCGTTTGATGATTTGATCGACTCTTGCGCAAATCATGTTGCTCAGTTCAAGGTGTCCACTCGCAGCTTCTTGCAGCCGATAATCCTTCACCTTCAAATATGGTTTTGTCGCTTGTCATCCGGCGGCAATCCGACCAAACAAACAGCAACTTTGCACATTTTCGGCTTTAGACTGAACCTGACAGGCGTCATTTGTCTGTTTTCCTTCGGAGGAATACCGAGCCTGATGCCTCTCCGGACAGACCGAATCGGCCGGGCGAAT